GGCGCCTAACGTCTTTAGGTATGCTGATGTATGTCGGACTTCGACACGTAATGTTATGTTATATTATTGAACTCTACATATATGTTAAATTGCACGTCATCGTTATGTACCATTAGTAACGTTTGCTATATTTAAATAGCCTGTACTCTTGTTGTACATAATTAATCTCATGATTTTATTACTATTTCATAATTTTGCAAGTTATCTTTTGTTTTACATTACTATTTTTTGAATTGTTCTAACACGAAACACTATATTTTTCAGAGATGGCACGTCAGGATACACCTCAGTTGTTGGACCCGGCGATAGATCACCGACACCGGTCTCACCTTACTGCGGTGCAGGGGGCTCAGCTTGGGACGTTCCGGGCACGGACGTGCGGTGAGCTACTCACGGTTCACGACTCCTTTGTCGAGAGGTACGAACAGTGTTCTACTACAAGTTAGTTGCACTGTAATATTTTTTATAATGACATATTAATTTGTTATTGCAGGCTACGTGAGGCCGGCCTCCTACTGATGTGTCGGCTGGTGGAGGCTGCGGCCGGCGACGCGGACCCGGCCAGACGATGGACTGTGGACAGGTCCCTCCTAGCAGCTTTGGTCGATCGATGGAGGCCAGAGACACACACTTTTCACTTGCCGTGCGGTGAGGTAGCCCCTACCCTACAGGACGTATCGTACTTGTTGGGGCTACCGCTCGCGGGAGACGCTGTTGGGCCAGTGACCACGGCTGTGGACTGGCAGGACGATCTGACGGCACGTTTCGCACTAGTACAGCGCGCACCGCACCTCCCGCTCTAGCCGTTGGCACACCACCGCAACACCGGACCTACGAAGAGGTGGCTGCTTCAGTTCACCGTGAGTGTTTTTGTACCGAAATGACAATCGTATTACATATTTAGTCCGCAGTTAAGGTGCCTAACATTTTATCGACGGCTTGCAGGTTGAGCAGCTACAGGCGGAGGCCGACGAGTACTCCTACAGCCGATGTTTGGAGGCGTACTTGCTCTGGCTTTTTGGCTGGGTGATATTCTGTGGCGGTCAAGGGCACGCGGTCGACAAGGGACTCGTGCACTACGCCAGGAGCATCGCCGACGCCGCGGTAGGCGAGGTGCCTCAGTGGAGCTGGGGTTCCGCGTTGTTGGTGGCTCTGTACCGTGCACTTTGTGAGTCTTGCACGAAGACGGATCCCAGCGCGACCTTTGGTGGGTGCCCTCTCTTTCTTTCTATCTGGGCAGCTGAGAGGATTGCGATCGGCCGCCCTGAGGTGAACCAGCACGCGTACGAGGAGTCACTGTACGAGGAGCGACCAGAGGTCGACTACCCTACGATGGGTACTCTGTGGTGCCGTCGTCAGGTACGTTGCATCGATCTTATCGTATTGTTAAGTTAATTGCTAAGTTCATTGTACATCACATCGATCGTCTCGTATTGCAGCGCCGATGGGCTCACGTCCAGGTTAGGCGGTCGTATCCTGAGTTTGTTATGGAGTTCGACCGCCTTCTGCCGACTGACGTCGTGTGGGAGCCCTACAGTGCAGCGGCTACCCAGGCTCGTGCGCCGTTGGGTCTGTCCACACTCTGCACCAGGGACCAGGCGTACTGGATGACTACGGTTCCGATGGTCTTCGACATCTGCGTTGAGCCTCACGCCCCTTTCCGCGTGATGCGGCAGTTCGGCTTCCGTCAGCCCTTTCCAGTACCGTTTCCGAGCACCGTCCCAGCTGCTGTTCACCGGTAAGATCTTGCACTACGCTTTCCGTTGTTGCATTAAAATCTGCCTGTTCACAATAATTTGTAACATCTGTCGTTTCACACTAATATTACACATTAATTCGCAGGTACTCGCGCAAGGGTCAGTACTCAGCTGGCGACTGGCCCGCCAAGTTGGCGACTTTTATTGAGGACTGGTTGCTCGCAACCGAGGAGGTCGTGGACCACGAGGGAGAGCCACACACTGAGGAGTCGTACCAGGCCTACCTACGCTGGTACCAGCCACGCACCTGTACTAGGGTCACCTTCGCTCCCTTGGAGCAGCAGCCCCACGTTGCGAGCACTAGAGACCTCTATGCCAAGCACCGCGACCAGGACTTCGCTTGTGCTGTGAGTACCCTGCATCGCACCATTCCTTTATGTTTTCATATCTTTCTCTTCGTCAAATTTTACGAATATTTACGAACAAATTAACCATGTAGGTCGACGACATCAACCGGGTCGTCGTTGACGGTTCAACGACGATCCAACGTTTAGGCGCGGGGATTCCGGTACCCGTAGAGGATCACCTGACGACGTACACGCGGATGGTGGAGTCGATGCGCTCGATTCTCCGAGTGCTCACCTGTCGTGCAGACAACGTTGCTCGGGCAGACGCAGCTGTACAGCGGCCACCCGTACCGACTGGTCCCCGTCCAGCTGCGCACGTTCCTAGGCCGACTCCCCCTCCGCACGGAGGTAAGTATTTTTATTACTATTTCTGTACATACCTCGCACATATATAAGTGAGCCGTTTCACTTGCCGATTGCTTCAGGGTTTCGTGCACCGTTCAGCACCCCGCCTTCCTTGGCTAGGCCTTCTGTTGTGCCCCCCACAGGTACTTAAAAAAACAACATTACTTTGACAATCAATTTACATACATTTTATGTCTTAGCTTACAAGGGTCCCGTTGTCGATGTGTAGGTTTCGCCCAGTTCGCTATGACGCAGGCCGCCCACTTCTCCCAGGCTGCAGGGTCAGCGTCTCAGGCAGCTGTGTCGACCTCGCACTCAGCGCAGTTCTGGCAGTACACCGGGACTTCGTCACAGGCAGCCGGCACGTCGAGTCAGGGTCCACCACTAGACCATGCTGGGACCTCGTCGGACCGCTTGCTGCCTTCCACCTTGCTCTTCGACATCACTGACTTCGACTTCGCTTCAGGCTCGACAGAGGACGTCATTGGCCCCTCACAGCTGGGAGGCGCATCGCCGGTGCAGACGCAGGACCAGGCGCAGGCCACTCCTCCGCGGGACACTCGTGCTACCCGTGCTGTGCCACCGGATCGTTTCACCTACTCCCAGGACCACGTGCGAGCACAGGCCCGGAGGACCAAGCGTGGTCGCGGCGCGGGGCAGGGCCAGTAGAGCAGTCTTCTCTTTGTTTACTTGCTTCACTTTCCAGTACTGTATGCTTGTGTAATGACTACGTTATTGTTATATGTGCACGATACCTTTCGGCGCATACACGATACCTTTCGGCGCATGCACGACTACTTTCTGCCGCACCGATGTAGCCTCCTTTATTCGCGTGTGATACGAGTATTTGCCCGCCATTTGGCGCATACGACCAATGTAACTTTCGGCGCCGATCATGCATGTATCTTTCGGCGCCAATCAGGCGTACCCACCATACCCCACCACGTTCACATGTCAGGGGTATCACTCGATTTTTTGCGCCTATATAAGTCGCCTTAACGAGTGAGGCCTCACAATCTTTCAGAACTCAGTCATATTCAGTACTCTCTTCCCCACTTGCTTCATTACAAATCCGACCGGCTTTCGTCAATGGCTAGACGCCGGGGTGTTGAGGATCCAAACTGGCGTAGCGATCCTTGTGTATACCTACTACCACCTTGGTGCCAGCGTCCTCTCTGCCTATGTGGTGATCGATGCCAACTAATGGCTTCGAGGAATCCTGATATTCGAGGAAGGCGCTTTTTTAGGTGCCCTACCTATAACCGTGAGGTATTTTATTATCTGCATATGCTTATTCATTCCGTATGGGCAATCGCTTTATTCTTCGTAACACTACTCTATTCGGCAGACCCGCACTACGTCTTGCGCATACATCGAGTGGGTCGATACAGAAAATCCCGTTCTCGACCTAACCACTTGTTTACAAGAAGGTCGCTGGTATTTCGCATCCGAAAGTACTGAGCAATACTTACAGAGAAAAGCGGCTTATGAACGACAATGTCGTGAACAACAGAGCGACTGGCGGGTGTTAACTACGGCACTCCCTCCATGGGAAGCCCGTCCAAGATGCAGGTGTGGTGATCGTTGCCAGGTTCTTCGTTCCATAAATCCTACAACATTGGGTCGAAGGTTCTTTGTTTGTCCAAATATTCTTGACGACGATTTCATGGTAAGAATATTTTGATTACATGAATCCTTATTTTCTCACAACATTTACTAACTTTGCTTGCTTTACATCAATTCTTTCCTCCCAGGAACCACCAAGGAGATGTCAATACAGAGAATGGATAGACACCAGAAGGGTTCTAACTTCACCTAGCCGTGTTGTGCAGCTTGAACTACCAGAGCAATACAGAGTTACTAAAGCGCGGTTTGAGAGAGGAGAGGGATCCTCACGTAGGGGTTAGCTATTATCGGACAACTTGTCATATTGAAATTTCTACTGTCATGCTTCCTTGTCCCATTACTACATCGTCGTTGTGTTCAACTATTGCACTACCTCCCTCCTAGTTCGAATCTAATATCATCTATGTAACCGCAATGCAAATAGTCGTATCATGTTTAAATTGTACTACTATTTCTTCATGTTACATAATTCTTCTTGTTTAAGTCCATATAATGTTTCTACGACCCAGACTGCGATAGGCCTATATAAATTATCCGAGTACTAATACGTCGAATAAGGTACAAAATAATACCTCACTTAACATATGAAATTGCGCAACAACCAACTTCAATACATTTTTATAACAATATTAACAAGTTTTACCAATAAATACTTCTTTATTTATTATTAACATAACATAGAAAAATCTTTTGGCCGTACTTTTTTCATCTGGGTCCCTTGCCGCCCTCTATTGGGGCGGCAAGGGACCCAGATGAAAAAGTACGGCCGCAAGCTCTTTATGGGCGGCCAAAATTACAATTAGCCCCTTGCCGCCCTCTGTATAGGCGGCAAGGGCCTAATCGCAATTTTGGTCGACGGCGGCAGACGGCGCGGTCGACCCGCCGTCTGCCACGTCAGCTTGCCGCCCACCATTAGAGCGGCAGGGGCTATTTCTGCAATATTTTTGGTCGATAGATTATTTCTGTAAATATTAAAAAAAAATCTAAAAACGAAAAAAATCCAAAGGAACAAAGGACCGGGCCCGATTCGTATTTCCATTGTGTACCGGCCTGGCCTTCCTCGGCGGCCTATAATAATAGGACACCACAACTCATCGGCACTTCTCCACCTGTATCCAGTTCCAGTTATTGGCGATGCTGCCGACCCCCCGCCGCGTCAAGAACAAAGCACCGGCGCCCGTGCAGCTCACGGCCGAGCATCTCATCCGTGAGGCCCGCGAACTGCACGGCGATGGATCGGTGACCGTCTGCCTGCCGGCGGAGTCCAAGAAGAGGAGGATCGTCGATGCCGACGAGCTCGCCGAGCACCGGCTCGAGCGACGCGCACGGTTCGAGGCCATCGTCCGCCGAGCCGGCAGCGGTCGCGGAGGATGCGGCGACGCGTCGTCGGAGTGGATGAGGTACGCGCGGTGGGAGGAGTCCCCCGGCGGCGGCGGCGGCGACCCCGCCCGCGCGCGATCCGTGTACGAGCGCGCGCTGGCCGGCGGCGCGCCGGCGTACCGCGACCATGGTGTGTGGATAAAGTATGCGCAGTTCGAGGCTCGTGGCGGCCGCGTCGGGCACGCGCGCAACGTACTTGACCGCGCCGTGGCGATCCTCCCGCGCGCTGACCGCATCTGGTCGGAGTACCTCCGCATGGAGGATCTCCTCGGCGCCACAGACAACGCCCGCGTAGTGTTCGATAGGTGGACGTCTTGGCGCCCCGGCGCCGATGCCTGGGCCGCGTACGCCGCGTTCGAGCTCCGCCACGGCGAGCTGGACCGTGCCAGAGCCGTGCACGAGCGGCATGTTGCTGCTCTCCCGTGCGCCGACGCGTTCATCCTTTTCGCCGAGTTCGAGACGAAACTGAAGAACCTGGACCGCGCGCCCCGCGTGTACGAGCACGCCGGGAGCCTGCTCGCCGCCGCCGGCGACAACGACGACACCGCCGTGCTGCTCGCCGCGTTCGCCGACTTCGAGGAGCGGTGCGGGGAGCCGGACCGAGCGCGTGCAATATACCAGCACGCGCTCCGTGGCGAGCCGCCCGAGCCCCGCGCCGAGGAGCTGCGCGAGAAGCTCCTCTCTCTCGAGAAGCGGTTCGGCGACCGCCATGGCGTCGAGGACAGCATCGTCACCAAGCGGAGGTCCCAGTACGAGCGCGCGGTGACCACGAACCCGCTGTGCTACGACGCGTGGTTCGACCTCATCAGGCTGGAGGAGAGCGCCAACACCGGCGACGCGAACCGGATCAGGGACCTCTACAGGCGCGCCGTCGCCAACGTTCCACCGGCGGCGGCGGCGGCGGAGAAGCGGCATTGGCGGCGGTACATCTACCTCTGGATCAACTACGCCCTCTTCGAGGAGCTCGACGCGGAGGACGTGGCGCGCGCCCGCGGCGTGTACCGGGAGTGCCTCAGGACGATCCCACACAAGAAGTTCTCCTTCTCCAATATCTGCGTCATGGCGGCGGAGCTCGAGATCCGTGACAAGAACCTCGCCGCGGCGCGGCGGCTCCTCGGCAACGCGATCGGCGTCGCGCCCCGGCCGAAGCTATCCAGGAGGTACATCGAGATCGAGCTCCAGCTCGGCAACGTCGGCCGGTGCCGGATTCTGTCCCAGAAGTTCATCGAGCACGCTCCGAGCAGCAGCCACGTATGGAGAAGCTACGCCGCGTTGGAGAAGAAGCTGGGCGAGACCGACCGCGCCCGATCCGTATACGACCTCGCCGTCTCTCAGCCGGCGCTGGACGCCCCGGAGCTAGTGTGGACGGACTACATCCAGTTCGAGATCGACGCCGGCGAGCTCGACAGAGCGAGGCAGCTCTACGAGAGGCTTCTCGGCAAAACACAACACCTCAACGTGTGGGTGAGCTACGCCGAGTTCGAGGCCACGGCGTGCTCCGGCGGCGCCGCCATCGCCGGGAACGCGGCGGAGAAGGCCGAGCGGGTCCGGAGGTGCCGCGCCGTATGCCGAAGAGCGGACGAACACTTCAGGGGATGCGCTGATGATCCCGCCATGAAGGAGGCAAGGGCGATGCTTCTCCAACAATGGCTGGCGAAGGAGGCCGCGTTCGGCGACCTCGGAGAGGTGGAGCCGGTCGAGAAGAAGACGCCGAGAAGGGTGAAGAGGAAGAGGAGTCTCCTCGCCGACGGCAATGGCGGAGGAGGAGGATGCGAGGAGTTCTTCGATTACATTTTTGGTGATGAAGAGGATGCAACGGCAGCAGCTGGCTTCAAACTGATGAAAGCTGCTTACGAATGGAAGAACAGTGGCCATGTTATTACTTATTAGAGTGTAAATCTTTCTGTTCTAACAACCTTGTTGTATGTTATTGCCGTGGAATTAGTTTGTTAAGCATATAGAAAATTCACTAGATTTTGACATAAATTTCACAACGAACAGTCAAATGATGCTGGAATTATGAAAACAGCCCGTGGATGACACAGTTACTCATAGATCGCTTGTAACTTAAATAGTTATAAATAAATAAAAAAGTAACAAAAAATAGATTAGTATGAGATATATCAATCCATAAGTATGCATGCTGAAATTCGACTTGTATAAGTTGTAAAAACCAGTTATAAAAAAACAAAAAATTAAATTAAAACTTGTATACAAATACTTTGTTCAACTTATAGCAATCGAATTTGAATGTGCAATGTTTATGGAGTGATACAAATCAATCTATATTGTTATTGTTTCTAACTACTTAGATGATATACACCCATCGAGTAGGGAAACGCTTTTCCAAACAAACATCTACAGACTACCTTCAGTTATTTGTTCTTCCAATTACAGCAATATCCATACAAAACAGATTTGCTGCAAGAAAAAACATGTAAATAAAATGTTGGTGCGGCAACACTTACCGGAATGAAGAACAGAAAAAAAAAATTCTTGGAACAAAAGAGAAAATACATGAGGAAAAAAAAAAGGAACTTCCTCTAGACGTTTCCATAGTATATAGCAGGGTTTGCTTTATCGGTTTGTGCTTTTATATCGGGGGTCACCGAAATCCCGAAATTTTGGAAATTTCGGTCCGAAATTTCGAAATTTTGAGCAAAATTTAGTTGAATTTGAATAAATATTACCCAAATTTATGAAAATTTTGAAAAATTAAAGAAATTCAGCCGGAATAATATCGTATCGGAGGGGAATTTCGGTCCGAAATGTCTAACCCTAGTATATAGACATATCCTTGCTCATGAATCAAGATAAACCAATCTAATCATTCAAGTATACCACTATCTCAAATTGGACAAAGAATCATGAGAAGAAACCCAAAGGGGTGACCTGAGAACACAGTTACAGAATTACTCCATTATACAGTAGCTCACCATACATTGTATTGGCACCTGTGTTCTCAGTACCACTCCTCTGGGTTCAGCTTCTCTTCATTGCTGTAACCGGCAAGTAATTTCTTCAGATAATGTCAGTGGTTACTGCCAGCTTCTCCATTAGGCTAGTATTGTTGATGCATATGGTTAGATTGAGAAGAGTCATGAACACAAGAAGATGGTTGGAGAGAATTTATATATAGGGCATAAACATGATCTAGGAGAAGGAAAAAGATCATCCATGTACTCTCTTTTTGGACCTTGAAGTGTCACAGTGTTGACATCATGTTACATAGTGTTGACATCTTGCCAACCCTTGTTTTTGTCAGCTTGTAGTGGACATAGGTTTCAAAAAAAAGCTTGTAGTGGACACATATCCTGGTCTAGCAAACTTGTAGTAACTGCATGATGAAAAGTGAGCTTGAAAGGCTGCTAGAAGCCTAGAACAAGTGGAACTTTGGATTTAATGTGATGGAATTGCTACAAAATAATTTTATTTGTAGATAGACTAAAGACTATTAAGGCTGTGTTCTTTCCCCTATTTTCCCAACCCACCTCTCTCGTTTTTCGCGCGCATGCTTTTCAAACTGCTAAACGGTGTGATTTATGCAAAAACTTTCTATATAAATGTTATTTTAAAAAATCATATTGATTCATTTTTCAAAAAAATAGTTAATACTTAATTAATCATGCAATAATACTAGCTTTATTTTGCGTGCTGGGAGGAGGGCCGAACACAGAGTTTTTCGAGATAGGCAGGAAAATCTTTAAATAAAGATAGGCAGGAAATAATCCGCTATTTACGTTTCGCATGTCACACTCATCGGGAATATCCATATCAAAGAGTTCAAATTTGCGTACTGTATTCTTCTTCGAGAAAAATGCCGCACCATATTACCATAAGGACGACACTGCAGCGTTTTATTTACCTGTTTCAACTAATTTGTCAAAATTTGGTTTGGAACAACATGTGATCTGTGTGTGGAGATGGATTTTTATCCCTCGAGTAGACATCTCACCATTTCTTACATATCATCTAAATAGTCATAAAAAAGTTAAAAAGCATTAACAAGATTTTAGTTTAAGTCAATCTCTTCTACGTACTTGAGTTTTTCTCAATTCCTTGTATACCCCAAAATTTTGCTTTTGATCTCTTCTATACAATTTTCGTTACATGACCTTTAGTGGTTATATAAAAAATCAAATTTACCTTGGGCACGCAAGGAATGAAGAAGTTTGTCAAAATCTTTGTTGTGTGACTATAATATTCATAAGTTTGTTATACTAGACTCCAACGATATTCTCTATGATCACTTTCTTCCATGACTAAAGGAAAAATGGATAATTTTATAGGAATTAAACAGTCGGCAGATGGAAATGGTGTGGAGAGAATCCAAATCAAAATTCAGGAGTATAAAAAGGAGTGAGCAAAACTCGTAAACATAGAAGGGATTGGTTGAAATTTAAGGAGGCACACAAGAAATTTTCCTCATTAATAAGAGATATACTCCACAAACGTGTAGGTCATATTTGATTTCTAGAAGTTGTAACAGAACAATAAATTAAACTAAAACTAGTACACAAACATTCAGAGTTGTATTTTTTTTTAATTTTTGTTACAGCTTGTAGAAGTTAAATTTAAAATTACATGCTTGTGAAGAGATATATATTTCATATTAATCTATTTTGTCATTTTTTTAAAAAACATTAATAAATATTTAGGTAACATGTAGAAAACAAGTGGATGTCGATGAATAAAAGCACTTTCCCACCTGCCTAATGAAATAGTATCATAACATTCAACGCAATGCAAACTGTGTTACAAATCTAGTAATCCCAAAAAATCACTGATAAAATTCCTCAAAATCTCAGTTATATATATATAACTTCAAAACGAAATTACTGTCGGATGCTCCTATCCTGGAACAATCAGTCCTTTAGATCATGTGCAGGTAATTTGTTGAGCAGAACAGTGATCTGCTCCGGCATGCATGATAAAGCTCAGCGTGGTATATCAGGGGATATGGACTGGGTGGATCCATATTACTGATTTGTGGGGCATCTACTAGCTTGGCCCACATGCCATTGGTTCAAATTTGGGCTTGTTAAGCTGCTGTTTTTGGGAACTGGGCTTTCAGGCCATTTGGTTTTGTTTGATTTGAAGCCCAAATTCTTTTGTGGGTCATATGGTCTCCTTTGGAATTTTTTTTATTTATAATTTTTTTTATTAAAAGTTTTACAAAAATAATTTTCCATTTTGAAAATTGACGGAAGTAGTCGCCTACCGCCCAATCGCCCTCTCAGAGGGCGGCGAAAATGACGTGGCAGACGGCCGTTCGCTCTCGGGCGACGGCCGTCAACGAAATTTGCAGGCGGCCCCCTTGCCGCCCTCCGCTAGGGCGATTTTATACTGTGCGGGGGGCCGCCTGCAAATGGGCGGCGAGGGGGGGCATGGAATTTTGCAGGCGGCCCCCTTGCCGCCCTCCGCTAGGGCGATTTTGTACTGTGGGGGGGGCCGCCTGCAAATGGGCGGCGAGGGGGCATGGAATTTTGCAGGCGGCCCCCTTGCCGCCCTGGGGGAGGGCGATTTTTGCCTCTCCCCCTATAAAGCCCAGTCCCTCCTCTGTGAAATTTCATTATATTCACTAAAAATCCAAAAAAAACGAAAGAGAGAGAGGGGAGGGCAGCAGAAGGGGAGCGGCGAAGCCCTGCTGGTTCGCTCAATTCATCACAGGTATGCTCCCATACATCTTTTGCATTTGTACTAATATGTTATGTTTGAGTATATATGTTGCGTTTTAGTTTTAGTTCCATATATTTTAGCACATCTGTAGCACACAGCACATATGTGTAGATCCAGAGCATAGAATATAATAGTATGAATTGAGACATAGACAGTAGTGTTAATTGTAAGATGTAGTTTAGTTTGATCTGGAGAATGTAACGTAATTTTAGAAATTTAGAGAACAATATTGTAGAGAATGTAACTTAAGGCGTAGTACAGAAATGCGAGGTTAACGCAGTTATTGTTTTCATCAGGCACAATGTCAAGTAAGGTCACATTTCAGATAGTTCACGGTGAAGGAAATATTAGATTTGGTCCAGATGGTGTTGATCTGTCAGATTTTGTAATGACATCTAAGGGCATCGATAGGCCTGCGGAGAGAACATTTCAGTCAATTTATAGTTGGTTGTTGAGAGGATTTAGAATAGACCAAGAAGTCTACACAATGTCAGTGTCAGTTGTAGTGAGTCGTGCAACAGAAGGTTATTTTTGGGAACTAATGCCGATGGACAGCACTGATGCTTGGAGACGGTATGTGGAAATGGCTTTTGAACGGTCATGGCCCCTCGTTATATTTGTGTCGGTACAAGAGAAAGATATAAATGTTTCAATGCAAACCGAAGATGTAGAGGGTCCTATCAATGCAGGGGATGTTGTTGGACCATCGATGCAAAATGAGGAAAATCAACCAAGGGAGGAGCAGGCTATGGGCATGGCGGATGAGGGGAAGAGAGTCGGTATAATTGTTGATGAAATGGAGAGGGAAGATTCGGATAATGAGGAAGTGGACGACGACGCATCATCCGATGAGGAAGGTGATATAATGGCCACTGATTGGGCAAATGAGGACTTCTCTGGACTTGTTATATCAGAGGGTGATCATGTACCCTGGGAGTATAAGGAGAACGAGGTAATTGAGGGTGCAAGGTATGCTCATAAGGATGAGATGAAGGAGGCGGTGAAGCATTGGGCAGTTTCCTTGCAGAGAGAGTTTAGGGTGGTCAAGTCAACAAATTATGTGTATGAAGTGAGGTGCATGAAGGAAGATTGTCCGTGGCGTGTCCATGCATATAAGGGTAAATGGAATGATTATTGGAAAGTTAGCATTGTGACCGAGCACAAGTGCTACTTACAAGGGGTGGAGAAGTATCACCGAAACATCACTTCAGCTTTTGTGGCAAGTGAGATGTACAGCAGTGTTGTTGGTAACATTGGCTTTGAACCAAAATCAATTATTAGGCACATCGAGAACAAATTCAAGTACA